CGAACCGCGGTCAATTACGTGGGAGTCCAGCGACATAGCCATTACGCTAACTGCTGGTTCCCCAACCTTCTCGTTTTTTACAGATGTGGAAATTGAGGCCCAGAGAGGGGGGTGCTTGGGTCACACAGCAAGACGAAGGGAGAGGCGGATGCAGTATTGGCATCCTGTTCTCCTCCCCTCACCAGGCTGCGTACAGAGCTCCGAATCAGCCATACTCATCCTTCCGAGATGAAAAAGAACCAATTGGTCTTGAGGCTTCCTGCATCCTGGAAACACAGGCCAAGCGGGCCCTGCTCTGTGCGAGGCGCTGGCCCAGAAACGGGGTTCAGAGAAGGGAAAGGATGCCCCATTGGGATAGGCTTACCCAGCAGGCAGGATGACGACCTCAGGGCCCAGGAGAGCGTGGGCACTAAATAGGAGAAAGCCCCGCTTCGATGACTGTACCGAGTCTCGCGATCAGAAATTCTACAAAGAAGCCTATATATGTGCCTATCCTTAGACCAGCCTGTAGCATGATGGTTAGGGCACTGGACCCAACATGGCTAAGTCCACAGTTCAAGGCCTGGACTTGGTGGCTTGAAAACCTTGCCAGGCACATATGTGTGTGTGCCCCAAATCCCAGAGGAAAATGGAAGAGAAGGAGTTGTGGTGTGGTTGTCCTAGAGGCCTTGCTGCCAAGGCTTCACAGAAGACATGAAGGGCTCCCCTACAGGCGGCACGAGGGCACAGGCCCAGGGCCAAGGCCACCATCCTCCCAGCTCTCCTGCCTGAGTCCCCTGGTCAGCGCCAGGAAATTGTGCACCCCTGTTAGTCCCCGTGTGCCACCTGCAGCTTCAAAGGGTGGGGTGTGGCCGTTTATAACCCAGAAGAAAGCCCAGCCACTGTCTCCACACGCTGCTGCTTGGGGCATGTGTTGGCCTCTCGGCGTCACCTGCCTCCTCTGTATGTCTTTCTTTTCTTTAAAGAATTATTTTATTTAACTTTATTTATTTAAGTTTGACCAGAAAGGGACAGAGTAAGAGAGAGAAAGCGAGAAAGCAAGTGGCACTCGACCGATAGCCATGTGGGAGTCCAGAGCCTTAACCACCATACCACCTGCCGGCTCCTGTGTGTCTATTTTTTTTAATAATTATTTTTTAAAATGATTTAATTTTATTTATTTATTCATTTATTTTAATTTGACCAGAGAGAGACAGAGAACGTGGGAAAGCAAGCTACCAGGTCTAGGACTTAAACCATGGTCAGCCATGTGGGAGTGTCCAGTGCCTTAACCACCACGCCACCTGCTGGTTCCCCTGTGTGTCTATATTTTAAGAGAGATTTTTGCTATAGGGCATATGTGCTTGTCAGAGAGACAGAGACAGAGGGAAAGTGAGAAATCATGTCCTGGAGGGACCAGCAGTTGGAGTAATGGCTATGTGGCTGGACTCCCACGTAGTCGACTGTGGTTCGCGTCCCGGACCCGGTGGCTTAAAACTTATGCCAGGCACGTGTGCGTGCGTGCCCAAGATCCCAAGAGGAGAATGGAGGAGAAGGGATTGCGGTGTGACTATCCCCTCTGGGGGGTGATTTCTCGCTTTCTGTCTCTCTGTCTCTCTCAGTCTGTCTGGTGAGCGCACGCGCCCTATAGCAAAAACCTCTCCAAAAAAAAGAAAAAGAAAAAAAGAAATCATGCCCTGGGGTGATGGCCATGCTGCAGTCCCTTCTCCATTCTCCTCTCGGGACTTTAGGCGCGCAGGACATGCACTGGTGTGAGTTTTAAGTGACCGGGTCTGTGACTTAGACTGCAGTCGACTACATGGGAGTCCTGCAACAACCATTATGCATCTGCTGGCCGCCATATGTCTTTGAATACCAGGGGTCCATGCTGCGGCCGCTTTTCCCACAGCAGATCTGTGCTTACAGCTGGCCAGGCTGCTGCGGGCCTGTCTGCAGAGAGTGGGAGGCGCAGTGTGAGCAGAGCTGTGGAGGGGTGATTTTGTAAACTGAACTTGTTTTGTAAAATGTGCTACAAGGTGCGTGAGAGGGTAAGAGAGAGAAATGAGAAAGTGCCTCCCCGGGGGGATGTCCACGCTGCAGTCTCTTCTCCATTCTCCTCTTGGGATTTGGGCACGCATGCACACACGCCTGGGATTTCCTCCAAGCTGCGGGGTCCAAGACTCGAACCACACTATGGGATCTGGCCAGCTTACCCACCACACCACCTGCTGGCCCTGAACCGAACTCTTCTGTATTGATACGCTGCTATGATCAGCGAGGAGATCAGAATGTTTCGTTTTTGATCCCGTAAGGTAGCTACAGCTGTCTTATGAGTGTGTGGCTACGGCATGGGGAGGGGGTGAACTATTATTTTTTTTTTTTTTGGGGGGGGGGCGGTTTTCACTGTAGGGCACATGCTCTCACCAGAAAGACAGAGAGAGACAGAGAGACAGAAAGCAAGACATCACCCCCCAGGGAGTGGCCATGCCTCAATCCCTTCTCCTCCATTCTCCTCTCAGGATATTGAGCACGCACGCACATGCGCCCGGTGTGTTTAAGCCATAGGGTCCGGGACTCGAACTGCAGTTGACTACATAGGAAGCAAGTGACATATCCATTATGCTAACTGCTGGTCCCAGGGTGAACTGTTTTAAGCATTGCTTTGGTTTTAGTTTATGCTCACACCCTCCCTGGACTCTGAGCATCTGTGCCTAAATGTGAATGTCCTGACTCCTCCCCGAGGAAGGTGCTGAGACAGGCCAGGGCAGGACAGAGCTCGAGCTGGGGGTCCCCATGTCCGCTTCAGCTCAGTCGTGCCCTGGGGCCTGCTGGGTGCGATGGGGCCAGCTGTGTCTCCCCTGCCATGTACTTTTGGGGGCTCTGCCAGGACGCTTGCTCTGGCCCTCCACCCGTACTTCCTCTTTAGGGACATGCCTTTTGTCTACTGGCACTTCCGGCTGCCCTCCCCTTTCCTGGGGGCTTCACCCTTCCAGGCGCCCTCTGCAGTGAGCTCCCCACTCCTTTTTCATTTTTTTAGAGGTCTTTGTCATAGAGTGCGTGCACTCCCCAGAGAGAGATTCAGAGACAGCGAGAGGGGACGTGAGAAATCACCCCCAGGGGTATGGCCACGCTGTTGTCTCTTCTCCTTCATTCTCCTGGGATTTCGGGTACACACACACACACACACACACACACACACATGCGCTCCGCATGATTTTTACGCTGCCGATTCCGGGACTCAAACAGAATTGGCTGTGTGGAAGTCCAGTGATGTAGCCACTGCACCCACAGCTGGTCGCTGCAGTGAGCTCCCTGTAGAGGACAGCCTCGACCTGCTGGCCTTGGAGGGGCCCCTTCTCATACAAAACCCTCGTGCTCCTTGCCTGACCCTGTGGAGCTGCCACTCTCTGCTGTGTCATTGTCACCTTCAGACATCTCAAGTGTGGGGTCACTACCAGTCCCCTGGCTTTCTTGTTTCAGGGGACACAGGGCTCTTTGTGTGGTCCCCTAAAAACCCTCCCTATTTACTGACTCATGGGCCCCTGTGTCCTGAACACCTGGCACACACCCCAGGCCATATTCAGGCACAGGGAGAAACCTCAGAACACAGAATACCAAAACGCCTGCCCGTGGGTGCTTGTGTTCTAGCAAACCATGTCTGGCCAGAGGCACCAAGCTCCGCTACTGCCAGTGACGTGAGTGTCAGAGTGGGGAGGGGGGAAGCAAGCAGGAAAGACGGCA